GGAATTTTTTTCTCCTTGCAGCACGTGGTACCCGGCAGCAGTAATAAATAGAAATGAGGACGTTTCCCAGGATGTTTCAGTTCCGGTCCTGGTGCCGATTGTGTCACTTTTGCCATTTCAGGCCCCGGCGGCGTTCGAGAGCGACGCCGCTGACTTTTCTGCACAAGAGTGGGAGAATCTGGAGGACTGGCAGAGGGAGCTGTACAAAAACGTGCTGAGAGGGAAGAACGAATCGCTCATCTCTCTGGGTAGGTATCAGTCCATCAGTTATCGCTGCTTTCTGCAGCAGTTATCCGCTGCTTTCTGGCTTACAGATAGAGCTCCGAGGGTTGTGGTTAGTGGCACAGAGTCTAGTTGGAGGTCAGTAACAAGTGGTGTCCCTCAGGGGTCAGCACTGGGCCCAGTCTTGTTCAACATATTCATCGATGATCTGGATGAAGGGATAGAGTGTACCATCAGCAAGTTTGCTGATGACACAAAACTGGGAGGAGTGGCTGACACGCCAGAAGGCTGTGCTGCCATACAGCGAGACCTGGACAGGCTGGAGAGTTGGGTGGAGAGGAACCTGATGAAATTCATCAAGGGCAAGTGTAGGGTACTGCATCTGGGGAGGAATAACCCCATGCACCAGTACAGGTTGGGGGTGACCTGCTGGAGAGCAGCTCTGTGGAAAGGGACCTGGGAGTCCTGGTGGACACCAGGATGCCCGTGAGCCAGCAATGTGCCCTGGTGGCCAAGAAGGCCAATGGCATCCTGGGGGGCATCAAGCAGAGTGTGGCCAGCAGGTGGAGGGAGGTCATCCTCCCCCTCTGCTCTGCCCTGGGGAGGCCACATCTGGAGTACTGCATCCAGTTCTGGGCTCCCCAGTTCAAGAAAGACAGGGAACTGCTGGAGAGGGTCCAGCAAAGGGCGACGAAGATGATGAGGGGATTGGAACATCTCGCCTATGCAGAAAGGCTGAGGGACGTGGGGCTCTTTAGTCTAGAGCAAAGAAGATTGAGGGGGGATCTTATTAATACTCACAAATACTTAATGGGAGGATGCCAGGGGGATGGGAGCAGTCTTTTTTCAGTGGTGCCCAGTGATAGGACGAGGGGTAATGGGCATAAACTTGAACATAGGAAGTTCCATCTTAACATGAGGAGGACCTTCTTTACTTTGAGGGTAGTGGAGCAGTGGCACAGGCTGCCCAGAGAGGTGGGGGAGTCTCCCACTTTGGAGCCATTCCAAACCCGCCTGGACGCCGTCCTGTGCAACTGCTGGAGGTGACCCTGCTCTGGCGGGGGGTTGGACTAGGGGATCTCCAGAGGTCCCTTCCAACCCTGACCAGTCTGTGATTCTGTGATTCCGGACTAGCTCTGTTTTGGGGACTTTTTCCCACACCGGGATTTGTAGAAACGTGGAGAAGTCGGTGCCCGTTGCTGAGGGCGGCGCAGTGCATCGCCTCCAGTCCATCCATCTCTGGCGCTTGCCGGGGTTGGGGACTGGCCGCGGCCACCTCCGTGTTATGGCCCGCAGGCCCCTTCCCTCGGCCCACGGGGTTTTTCCCCGCTGGGGTGGCGTTGGCTGCCGGAGACGGAATCCGCCATCTCCCCGTGGGCCATCCAGAGGGCTCTCGGTGGTGCCAAGAGGTGGGTTGCGGCCGATGGAGCCGGTTTGGGAAGCGCAGCTGAGCGTGTTCCTCCCTGTGGACACAGCGGGTATTTTGATGCAGCACAGTGTTACGGTTTGAGGCACCCACAACAATTTGTTGTCATTTAGACAATTATTCTATCACCCAGTGACCCCTCCCCACCCAGGAAGGGGTATCAGGGAAAAACAAGGAAACACGAGAGTTGAAATATAAACAGATTTTATAGAAGACTAAATAAGTAACATTAATAATGCTAAAGAACCAATATTGATCCCGACACCAATATAAAATACACCAGGATTATCCCCAGCCCATTCTACCCGCCGTAGCTGTGCGCTCCCAGCAGTGGACAGCACATGTGGGACACTGCGAGCGCTGCGGCTTCAGGGCTAAGGGAAGGGCTGAGAGGTTGGGCACCGGGGCAAGGAATTCTCAGGATGGCAGCCATCGAGGGAGAGAGAGAACTCCTCAGCAAACTTTCTAATTTCTATGGAATGTGCCATTCATGGTGTGAAATAACCCTGTTGGCCAGCGTGGGTCCAGTGCCCGGACCTCGCTCCTCCTCGTCCCCACACCTGGCGAGCTTGAAAACACCGAGACCTTGAAACTCACACCCCGTTGTTCCTCTAAAGTCCATATTTTCCCAAATTCAGACACTAGAGTCTTCTAAAAGTGCAGTTTTCCCAAGCGTTAGAAGAGACTTTACTGCAAAATGAAATTACTGATTGAGAACTGAGTCCTGTGTCACTCAAACCAGGAGACATGGAAACCTTCGTGTCTCTGTTCCTCAACAGATTACGCCATCTCCAAACCTGACCTCCTGTCCCGGCTTCAGAGAGAAGTGCCCTGCAACGGGGACAAGGCGGCTTCGAGAGAGATTCCGGCAGAACCAAGTCCAGGCAAGAGATGAATTACAGCTCTTTTCTCAGGCGTAGTGTTTGCGTGGTGGTGTCACCCAACAGAGCGTATCACGAGGGGATAGTCCTGATTTGCTACGGAGGCGATGTCTCCGATGTCATGTGGAGCGGGTTCAGGGGAAGTAAGAGAGCGCTAGAAGAAAACGCAATGGGTTTGATCTTTCTCGTTTGCAGAGTCTGTGCTGCTTAAACCTGATGTGAGCAGCCAGGACAGCAGAGAAGGAGCGCAGTGCCCGACGGGAGAGGAAGGCCTGGAGGGAAGAACAACGCTGGCTGAACCCGGAGCTGGTGAGCATTGTTCTGCAAGGGTGTGCTTGGCCACACGGGCAGGGAGGGGACACTCCTGGAACGGGGCGGGGGGGTGAAGGGGAAAGCCCTTCTCCTCTGGGTGGAGTAAAGCTCCCAGCAGTGGGAATGGGAGATGCTGGGGAGAGGCTGCATATGGAAGCAGCGTAGCTGGCAGCAATCCTCCCGGGCAAAGGAAGAGCCGAGCGGTGCTGTGATAACCAGTAAAGAAAATTCCTCTTCACATCAACAGACTACAGCGTTCCAGAGCCGAGCTTCGCGGGCGCTGTGAAGCAAGAGGCAGAGCTGTGTGCGGAGGAGCGGGGAGCCACGGAGGACGCGGAGTTTATCGAGCTCAGCGTGGGTGAGTTCTGAGCAATCCCACACTGCGCTGTGCAGCTGGAGGTGCGGGGAGTCCCCGACGTTCCCGCTGTGGGACAGCGGGATGCGGGGACTGAGGAGACGCAGGCAGGACAGCGGGGAAAGAGCAAGAGCCACGCTGAGGTCAGGAAGGCGGGCAGAAAGCGTACGGATAATTTTAATAGTAGGAAGATTAAAGTGCCAGGTAGGCAAGACACTGCAGGTGAGGAGACAGGCATCCGGGGAATAAATCAAACAGAATACAAGGAATCATTAGGAATGAAGTTGAGAACAATTCTCAAGGTCTCCTCCAAAGATGGTGTTAGGCCAAAGTATCCGGGGTGAAGTTCTGCTCGCTCAGTCTTGAAAAGAATGCAGTGGGGAGGGACGCGGTCCAGAGCAGAGCAGAGAGGTGGAGAGCTTCCGTATCGGGAGAGACTGAGTGCCGTAGGATTGCTCGGCCTGAGGAAGGCACGGCAGGGAGGGGGATACGGCACGGGCCTGTGCCTGGGTGAGCGGGGCGCCGCAGGAGCTGAAGGAATGAACCTTCGCTCTTTCTCACTGTCCGAGTTCCCCGAGAAATGAGCGGGCGTTTGCTCTAATCTGAACAGGGCAAACTCTGCTATCGGGCATGCGCAAGCTGTAGAACCTCCTGCCACAGGGCATGGCAAAGGCTGAAAGCGAAGCGGGCTTAGAAGGGGTTTGGGTGAATTGCCAGATGGAATGTCACCTCTGGCTCCAATCCTGCTGCACGGAGGCCATCCCCAGTGTTCAGCAAGACCATGGCTGATGCAGAGTTCGGCGTTCCCCTGCAGCCCCTGGGCTTCTCGGCACCCGGCCCAGAACGCTCCGCTCCTTCTTGTGGGTCCTGTCTCGCATCTTCCAGAGCACATCTGCTGCTCTTCTCCTGGGATTTCTTGTCCTCGGTGGCTGCACCCTCAGAAGAGGGAGCTGTGCTCCAGAGCAGGGCCTCAACAGCTGCCTAGAGGCTAGGGACGTCACCGGTGAGCTGGGATGGGTCTGTTATTCCCCCAAACAATGTAATATTTACTTGTTTAGTAGACCATCCCCAGCTCACCAGTCGCTTCCTCACCCTCAGCCCTGGTCTCTGTTTATTCTCCTTGTGCCACGTCAGAGGTGTCAGTGGGGCTTGCTCAGGTTTTGATGGTATTTGCCCTGCTGTGACTAAATCTTAGATGCTTTTTCTCACGTCCCTCGTGTCATGTTGTCACCTCTCCGCTGTCAGTCGCCACGCAGCGCTAGTCAACTGGGAAGTGACACTATCCGGACAGCACCGCTGCTTAGATTTTGCCCTCACACAAAATGGTTGTGCGTTGGCAGTTTCCATCCTTGACCTTTGGTTGGTCTTCCACCAGCGGGTCCTACTGACATCCAGGTCAACTAAAATGAAATGTTCAGGTAGGAATGAGAGTCAAGAGAAAGTTTGAGATAGGTTTATCGTGAGTAGAAAACCCCAAGCACCGGGTTTGGAGATGAAAAGCAATGAACCCTCAGAGAAAACGTACTTGTGCTGCTTCAGTGAGGACTACAGAGGAGGCTTGCTCGTTGCATACATATCCTGAGCAGTAGCAGCACGTCTCAAGTCAAGACCAGCCACTGTTCGTGTGTCCCCTTTCAAGAAGGGGGCTACGCAGGTGGGTCACCACGTCCTGGGAGCAGAGGGAAGGTGGATCTCATGGAAAACAAGCTCTTTCTCTGAAGAGAAATACCTGGTCGTTGGTGTGAGGATAGAGGCGGATGTGCTGCTGACAAGGGAAGCAAAGAGCTGCCCCAGGTCTATGAGATCTTAGCGCTTAGGAGAAGGAAGATGGCTGGAGATGGTTTTGGAAACTGCCCGACTCTGCTATCTTGGAAGGCAGCACTGCCCTCCGCCCCCTCCCTCACAAACACTCACACTCGCTGCTGGGCCAGCTGAAAGGGAAGCGCCGCTGTGCTTTCCGCTTGTATTCTCTCTTGCGCTCTTTCAGCGGGCTGTTGGTGTGTGAGCACAGCTGCCTTTCACGCGCCCTGTGTGAGACAGGCCTGTTTCATCCACGGGTGGCGGGGGAAGGAGCGGGAGGGATTTCAGAAGCCTCTTGTGTCTCACACCAGTGACTGTCCCCTCTGTTTTTCTTGTCAGTTCCAGCAGATGAGGTGATAACGTTCAAAATAGAGCAGCTGGACTCTGAGGAATGCCCCCAAAGCTCAGATTCCTCCGTGACTTTATCCGGGGAGTCGGAGGAGCTGGTTTTCCAGGGTCCCGGCGAGGCGCTGCCCTTTGATAGTCAGTACAGCTCTCCTGTGCATCAGGGAAACCAGAGCATGAGCCGGCTGGTGCCATCCATCCCGGGGGAAGAGGGTCTCGGCGAAAGCAATGCTGTCATGTTCTATGGGCAGAACCATCCCAACAAGAGACCTCACTCATGTGCTGCGTGTGGGAAGGGCTTCTGTCTGAAGAGGATGCTGACGACTCACCAGGAGAGCCACAGCACACAGTGCAGCAGCGAGCACGCTGGAGACGAGGAGAGCTTCCTCCATCAGCAGCGCTGGCGGACCCACGTGGAAGAGAGGACCTGTGTAGCTATGGAGAGGTTCAAGCAGAACCAGAACGCAAAAGCCCACGGCAGCGTCCCAGCCACAGATAAGGTGTACGGCAATCCCAGGTGCATGAAAAGCGTCAACACCAACGGCAGCTGCAAGCCAAGTCAGAGGGGCCACCCGCGGGGGAGGCCTTACAAGTGCGACAAGTGTCAGGAGTGCTTCTCCCAAAAGAAAACCCTCATGATCCACAAGCGTACTCACTCAGGCCGGAGCGGAGGGGTCCTTTGGTGCTCGTACTGTGGGAAGACCTTCAGCCATCCCTCCAATCTCATCCGGCATCAGAGGATCCACACGGGGGAGAGGCCGTACCAGTGCAACGAGTGCCCAAAGCGCTTCACCCAGAAGCAGCACCTCCTCCAGCACGAGAAGATCCACCTGCGCGAGAGGAACCGTGTGGTCATGCAGAGTGCGAGGAAGGTGCCGCTACACAGCTTCTAGGCTGCGCGGGCTCACGAAGCCCTACAGCCCCTGGAGGAGGTAGGAGAGGAGAGAGTCTCTGCCGCTCAGCGTTAAAGTCTCTCTGACAATCTATCCCAAAGATCCAAACAAAGTAGAATTAGGATCCACCTTGGCACCGCTGCCCTTTTCTTCGCGGTGGTGATGGTATGCCGCAGTACCTCATAGTCTGCCCAAAAATCTCTCAAGAACAAGTATGTTACAGGCTTCCCCAAGTTCAAGGCGGTTGTTTGAACTGGTTCCAGCGAGTTTGAGGATTTTTTAAGCAGCTGCTCTTCTTCGCCTGGAGTTTCCCTGGCTGCTCCCCTTGACAAAGTTCTGCTGTTCTCAATGTCACGGGTGAGTTTAAGTTGCACGTTCGCAAAAGGCTCCTGGCACCTAAACACGTGCACAGGGTAAGGCCTCGCTGGTGGCTTGCGTCGATGCCCATCCCTTTGCCAAGGAGGAGCAGCCAGAAGGTTCCCAGCTCTCTCCGTGCCTCAGCACAGGCCAAATGACGTTTCCACTGCTGCTTTTGCTCGGGAAGCTAGCTGGAAAAGAGGTTCAGTTCCTTCTCTAAAGCTTGAAATCGGATTTAGTTTGCCTTAAGTGATGACGGTAGAGCCACATTCTGCTTGGAGTTGTTCTGGTGTGCGCTGGGACATGTTCCACTGGAGACTGAGTTTGCACTGCAGCAGCTGAGGGGAATTTGCTCCATTGTCCGTCGCTTCTGAGCGCACCCAAAGGAGGTGGCGTCACCCAAACCCCTTCTCGTACCTCTACAATGTGCCTGGTGGAACTGAACGGGAAACCACTTGTAAGCCAGAGGTGGGGCACACATTTCATATGCTGGGAATTTTTTCTTAATGCTTTGGGATGTGATTCCCAGAATAATGAAATATTTTTAGCAAATTGCCCAAATACGTAGTGCAACTTCAGGGCTGGCGTTGCTGCCTGACCTGAAACTTCCTGCTCGTTTTCCTCATCGCTAATTGGGCTTCCTGGTCCCGAAGTATCCGCCAAGGGGAGGGTTGCAGGTGGCTGGCTCATCTCCGTGGTGACAGAGATGTTCCTCTGGCTCCAGCTGGCTGCTGTGGCAGTTGTTTTCGTTTGGAAACTCCTTTGGCCAAGGAGTCAAGTCTCTTTCCAGGTTCATTGTCGCCTGCACTGCCAGCGGAGCGCAAGACAGGAGCACTCGGGTGCCTGCTTTGTCCCAGCCAGCAAGGCCAGCTCAGAGCTCTGGGCTGTTTAAGCTAATTTGATTCTTGCCCGGAGCAGATCGGGGTGAGCCTGTGTGAACCGCT